AAAATCTTGTATATGTCAATGTCCTCTTCAAAGTTTGTTTTAAACCAGCTATAACAACACACCACCCTAATCCATATTTTTGGAAGGCTGAGGCAGGAGGGTTCAGAATTCCACCCCAGCCTGGGCAATTTAACAACTTAATGAGACCCCCATCTCAAAAATAAAAAAGGATGGAGAGTTCCACCCAATAAACAAATCAAATTTAAGTTTAAAAAAATTCATAGCTGGGTTGGGGAGATAGCTCAGCAGCATAAGCACTTGCCTGGCAAGTATTAAGGGCCTGAGTTCAATCCCCAGTTCCGCCAAAAGAAAAAAGAAAAAGAAAAAGAAAGAAAGAAAAAAAGAAAAAAAAAAATTATAGCTACTTGGGAGCCTGAGACAGGAAGATCCTAAGTTTGAGGCCAGCCGGTGTAATGTAAGTACTTACCAAGTACTTATCTCAAAATTTAAAAAATAAATAAAAAGGACTACATTAGCGCTGAATTCAATCCCACATACACACAGTAGTCACCTTACACCAAATACCTACAAAAAAAACAGAGGCTTAGGAGGTAGCTCGGTGACAGAGTGCTTACTTAGCATATACAAGCTCTAGGTTCAAATATAAACAGTATAAAATAAAAATAAACCAAATTCGATATATAAACTGAACTACAGATTCTTTCTCTTGACGCTCCAAGTTAACTTCCCTATTGAATACTGCCCAGGATTCACACAATGACAGGCAACAATGCATAAGTGAGCGCTGTTCCAACTGTAATAAAGAATTACTTTTTCAAAGCCTATGGTGAATAGTAGCTGAGCCCTATTTTGCTGAAAACTGTTTTCTAAAAGGAAAGCTACAAATAACCATAAAACGAGACAAAAAACTTCTCTAATTAGGTGCAGTGACTCTCCTATATATTCTCTAGAAAATTACTTGCTTTTTAGAGGCAATCACCCTGACAAAAACCTGTAATCTACAGAAAATAATATTTTGCTTAGTTTAGAAATTATCATGGCCAGGTGTTGTGATGCACACCTATAATCCCAGCACTCAGGAGGCCAACATAAGAGGATAGCCACAAGTTTGAGGCCAGCCTGAACTTCATGGTGAGACCCTGTCTCAAAAAACAAAACAGGGGCCAGGGAGATGGCTCAGTAGAACAAGTGCTTGCCTGGCAAGCTCAAGGGCCTGAGTTCAATCCGCGGTTCCGCAAAAAAA